AACGACAACGACGACCACCACAACCACCACAACCACCACGACCAGGAACCACCACCACCACCACCACGACCACAACCACAACCAGACAAACAGGAACAAGAGCAGGAGCAAGAACAACAACGACAGCAACAGCAGTAGCAACAGCAGTAGCAACAGCAGTAACAGTAACAACAGCAGTAGCAACAGCAACAGCAGCAGCAACAGCATATTTGCCTTGCGAAGCATCGGTTGGTTTTGCGCCGTGATTCCATTGCCCAACCTAGGGCAAGATCTGAAGCTCATCGACTTCGGTCTGTCCAAGTTCTGGGAGCCCACCAAGAAGATGCAAATGCGAGTGCCTGCGCCTGGTTTGGGCGCGCATATGGGTTTTCGGTGTCCCTGGCAGTTGGGCCAGTGTTGTGTTTGTCTGAACATCCATCATCCACTGTGGCGGGGGCAGCCCAGGGTAATTATGTGTTAAATCTTGCTGAACCCTTTTCAAGGGGGGTCTTCAAGGGGCACCAACACCGACCATTGAAGCGGTCCAGATTTTCACGCCATGAAGATGCTGTCAGGAGGCCTTGCTGCATGCTGCATTTTGTTTTGACTGATTCGTGTGTGTTCCATTCTTTGAGGGTACCCTTTTCGCGTGTGCTTGGAAGGGAAGCCTATAGGGACAGGGAAGCAGCGTTTTAAAGGGCCCCCTAGGTAACTTTTGAGACGTGCCGAGGGCATGCTTGAAATAAACATTGGTCATCATGTCTTAGTGATCAAGCGGTGGCTGGATGGGAATCAAAGCCGTTTCGCACAAATCCGTGGGGTTGTCCTTCTTCCGTGTAAGTGGTTTTGCAGCTCTGCAGATATGGAAGCCCCTCAAACATGGTTGGCGGACACAACGTGATGTACAAAAGGGTTGCAAGTTCCACCACTCGTGCACAAAAACAAACGGCGGTGTGTTCAAGCCCTCGCCCCTGAGGTTGGAACGCTTGATTACATGGCGCCTGAGGTGCTGCACAGGCCAGATGGCAGGATTTGCACTCACTTTGGCGGTTGGGGAGTTTGTGCCTAGAGATTTTCATTGTCAACTTCGAATTTGTCCGGAAGGCGAGCCAAGAGGTACGAAGAAGGGATGAGCGACACCACTTTGGATCCTGTCCTGCCGAAGGTTCCGATCGGCCTGCTTTGGGGTTCTTTCAAAGGGCTAGCACGAGCCGCATCTTTGAGCAGGCGGCTGGCCAAACCTCTGTTTGGGTCTAGAGCGTCCAGATCAATCGGAAGAATCTGAAATATTTGTGGCGAGCCCGCCGATGCCTGAGTTCATATTAGTGAATTCTGATAGTTTGTGTCAGGTTTCAGCTAGGTTTGGGAGAACAGAGTTTGGGAGAACGGAGACCCCTTTTGAGAACCATGTACAGGCTTGTCTCCAAATAGGGGAACACCCCAAAAATCTTTGCCCTTTTCACTTTAGATCAACCCAAACAAAGTATGCCAAAAAGCAGAATCCACTGTTGGTGACTAGCAAAGCCATGAAACACCTAGTCCGTTCCTTGGTTACCTAGCATTTGTGCAGATCGAACGAGGGTCCGAGGAAACACATTCATGGCAAGTTCTCAAAGGGGGGTTGTCGCACAATTTTGGCGACCCTCCAAATGGGTGCTTTCCTTTTGTTTCCCTTTGTGCTCAATCCCAACAACTGGGTTCCGCTCCAAAAGAAGACAGAACCACACCCATGTATTGGTTTCCAGGTTTCCTTCCGTTTTCCCTTTAAACCCAACCAACAGTGGCTTCCCAACAAGAAAGACCGCCCTGACATTCGATCCAGGAACTACACGTCCAAGTGTGACCTTTGGAGCTTGGGCGTGGCTCGCCACAGAAATGCGGATGTCAGATGGGGCGGCAGGGGACCGTTGGATCGGGGTAGCTCCAAGTTTCTCTCCCTCCTTTTGCTTTGTTAGGCTGGACGGGTTCTTCCCATAAACGGCTACACAAGACAGTGTTTGTAGCATCTCAAAGGAACCCATTCAAGAGGTCACGCAGAGGAATGAAGCGCATGAGGGGCCATGGGCTTTTGGCGGTTTGCGGGCCAAGCATCAGCCTGAGATTGACTCATGACGACTGCCTGTCTCTCAACACGCGTACCGACATGTCAGTCCAAAGCTCGACGAGAACGTACGCCCGTTTCAGTCTTGTTTTGGCTTTTACCATTTCCCTGCGATCCTCCGGTTGCTGAAGAGCTCCCTGCTTGCCTCTTTGCAAACCAAAAAAGGGCAAGTCCTTTTGATCCTTTTGGCCGCCTGGGTAAGTCACCGTGAGGACATGAACCTTTATTTCAGCGGGGAATTTGGGTGTGTCTTCTTCAGGGACATTAAACGGATCCCCACTCTGGTGGGTTCCAACATCCAAAAGGCATCCCTTCAGGATGCATTTGCCTCAAAACCATGGCCTCAGAAAGGGCACCCCAAATCCGGAAGCTCACCCACTTTGAGGGGTCCGGCCCAACAAAAAGGCGCCAAAACCCAAAGAGATCGGTGGTTTCTGCATAAAACTGGGGGGGGGGATCCGGGAATCAGGTACACATGTTCTTCCTGCTCAAACGAGTAGTTTGGTTTCCTTTGGGTTATAGTTATAGTGAGTAACAATCATTTATGGCTTCCCCCAGTGGTCCCCATTTCCTGGTGGAAATCTCCAACTTGAGTAACAGTCAGTCAGCATGCCTCTGTTATGGCTTAGCTGGCTGTTTGGGTTGGCTCTTGGGTTTTTGTGTCTGGTCGCAGTTTCAGGGTTTTTTACCTTCAATTGTTGGCTCTTGTTGTTGCCTCTTTGGGTTCCACCGAATGCTGGACTCATATGCGTCATCTCTGTGTTGCTTTGTCGAAACGTTGAAACTTTTGTGTGCCTGATTTGTGCCTTTTGTGTGTTTGAGGCTTACTAGTTTCCCATGGTGTTCAAAAAAAACGGGGAATCTGCAACCCTACGCAGAAATCCAAACAGCCAATCCAAAAGGCCACATAAGGTCTTGTTGAATGCCCAATGGCTACAGTTCCCGGGTAACCACCCTCATGATCAACGGCCCATGGCAAACCCACATGGTCATTTCCTGGCCGAATGACCATTTCGTGGTGACCAGAAGGGTCCACTTGGCCAACAAGTATTGATCAACTTCAAGCCAGGTCATCGCCTACACCTTGCTGGTGGGTAGCTTCCCCTTTGCCGGCCGTGACGGGGACAGCGCCATGCTGCAGCGCATCGCCAGCGGCAGGCGAATGCGAATTCGAGGGCGTGTTCGGGGCGAAATGGTGACCGGGGGCCAGGTGGGTAGCTGGTCTTTCTGTGAGCAGCCCCCCGTTTTTCGGGTTAAAAATGGATGTCCAAAAGGAAAAGCCGCATTTTTTTCTGGTGCCAATCCCTATTTTGACACATGCCAAGGTTTAGCCGGAAATCCGTTGCAAGGAGCTCACCGGGGGATTGGGGGAACCAGGAGCTCACCCTGTGAGAGTAATTGTTTGTTCCTTGCTTCAGGCTTGTATAGTGACTTAGTGATTTGCCACGGAACATGGGGGTCCGGGGCAATTCCATTTTTGGGTTACCCCCAAAGGGACTTACAGCAAACCCAGTGGTTTATGTGTTTGAGGACAGAAACAAGCTGGGCTCAAGCTCTGGGCAATCAACATCTGGAACGATTTGGTTTGCCGAAATGGTGGGTTTGTGTTTACAGGGTTCCCGGTATGTTATTTTTCTTTGGTTGTTTTGGTTGTTTCTACCTGCAGAAGGCCATAGTGACGAAGGAATGGACGAATAGCGGTTAACCTTTCCTTTTCCTTCTCATGGATTCGTCATTCCACTTCCCTCTCTCTTTCATTTACTTTTATTTATTGTTGGCAGTGAGTCTTGGAATGAAGGAGACAGATGACAGCGAACATTAGAATCTCAGAGATGAACCGAACGAAGGGAAAGAAGCGAGTGGACGGTGGAATGAGGAAAAGAGATAGTGAGGAAGGGAATGAAAGTAAATGGTGGATGGGTCCCTTCTCTTCCCTTCCACACCTAACATCCAAGACACAGGATTCTCTCCGTCATTGATAGAGAGGAGAGAAGAGAGTGAGATGACATGAAGCTGACTGTGGGCATTGTTTGGGGCTGATCTGGAAAATGTTTGGGGCCAGAAGGAAACATGGGGGCCCCGCCTTGTTTTGGTGTGGCTTTCCACTCGTTTGAAGATACCTTACAGGCAATGGTATGGATTAACGGAACGTCACTGGGACAGTATAAGACCTAGCCGGGCCATCCAAGTAGGGACGATGCAAATCCTCCCGGATGCCACTGGAACCGCTCAAGCCGTTCCGTGGTTACCTCAAACGCGTCCCGTGCACGCGTCCCGTGAAGACGCCCTTACATGTTTGGGCAAGCAAGGTGCCTTCATTTGCAGCAAGCCTTAGTAGGCGAGTGCGCCTCATGAACGTTGGGCCGTACCTTGGAACCTGCAAAAGTATACCTTTGGAACCCCAAAAGCGAATAGACCCCGCAAAATGCCGAAGCCGCCACATAGAGAGTCAGCTCAAATCGCTCGCCTGGCGAACCGCGAACCGCGAAGCACCAGGTTCGCCCAAGAACGCGATGCGTGGATCGCAGCTTCGGCCCTGTCCAAGGCGCGAGAGATCTGGTTCACTGCTTGTGGCCAGCATTCGGACACTTAAAGGTTATACTACTTGCGAACTCAAACTTATGACAAGTGCGAACTAGTATGCTCCAACTATAGTCGAATCAAGGGCAGCAACTGATATCCCCGCCCCGGTCAGGTTCTGACGTGGCATCACAAGCAACCAACCCCGAGGCTCCAGGGTCACATCGAGACCGAGCTGATTTGCGAGCCACGATCAAGAACGAGGGGGGAACTGATGGGTAATGCACATGTTTGCCATATGGCTGTGGGTCAAAACCAATGGTACCATTTTGGGGTGGGAGCACCACCCGTTATAGTCTGTTTTAGTGGGGATTGGGATGTTCACTGGGGGTACGGGCTTTTGACCCATGGCCATATGTGATATCAAGAACCGCCCGGTTGATTCTTTACCATGAACATTGGGTTGACCCATTCAACAGGTTTTGGTTATTGCGCCAGCAGACCGCCTTCGCTCTTTTGGGTTAAAGAACAAGGGAAAGGCAGCAGGGGGTCAGTTGGCCCAACCCAACTGACCAGAGACATCGGTTCCCTTCATGCCTCAACCAAGTCCGTGATAGCTTCCGTCAAGTATGAGTGTTGTGTACCCATTTCTGGGTTGCTCAAAATAATAATGCTTATGCTAGCTGGTAGTGGTTTCTCTTGTTGTAGTGTTGTCACACTAGGATTATGGTTTGGGATTAGGGATCATGTTGCACAGCCCAGTCTGGAGAGGTTTGACTCTCAACCAGGGGTCTATTCATCCTGGGTCCCCATATTTCCCATTTCAGCTGGTTCAAACAACCTTTTCCTTGTCACTTTTAGAGAACCTGTTTGCTCTTGGCGTGATGTTTACGGCCCTGTCAATTTCTTAAGGGACCAAGTCCAACCCAGCTGCGCCTGTTCCACAGGACTTTGTGGAGAAGCTGCTGATCGCCCCTTGGCGAACCGTCAAGGGTCGCTTCTCCAATTGGATCCTTCGTGCGTCGGAGTCTGGGGCAACATATGTGGGTTTCAACAAATTAGTTCTAGGATGCACACACGTCCTGTGGTGCAAGCTGGATCCCGTTTGTTGGAACTGGTTAGGGCCGAGATGTCTGTGTTTGAATCTATGCGGGAGTGGGTATCCCTGATACTATAGGGCATTTTGTATGGTAGACATCACCGGGTAAGCCCTCATCAAGATACAATTGCTTACGGTGGTTACTTTTTGCAATCAGATCCATCAGGTCGGGGTTCGGCTTCAAAGATCTGACTTCACGTTGGTACCGGTCGAATCCCAAAGTGTTGCAAGCAAACCACTTGATCCTTTCATATCCTTTCCTTTCAACGAATCAAGGAATCAATTGTAGCAAGGGAACAGAACCACGGCCTCTAGTGCGCCCCAACATACGTGACTCTCATGTTTGTGTTTCCTACATATTGATACATGTATGCCATTGGCAATGAGTTTGGTAAGCAGCAGACAGCTTTCAGTCAACGAATCATCCGCTACCACAACCATGTCACTACGGTTAACCTTTCAGGCAATGCTATCATAGCCAAGCACAAAGCTGTCTTTGCCAAAAAAAACACCCCAACATAATGATCAAACAAAATGTTTTAACCAGTTTTATATGGTTTCGCAAACACACCATGAAAAAAGGAACGTCTTTGGAGTCGACAGCTACTGTAGACGATACAGAGCTTCATCTCGGCAGAGGTATTGGCACCTTCTATTTCCCAGACCCCCAAGCGATCCGAAGCTTTGCATCGCGTGACTCGAAATGCGCACGGCGTTTTTCTGTGCCGATTTCAACTCCTGTGCCTTCGGAATCCATTTGGGTCTGTCATGTTTGAGAGTTTTACAGGGAAACCTGGAGGGATCCAAAAAAGGACACGCCCATGTCCTTTGGATTTCTTTTCCTGTTTGAGGAATCCATTCTCGTTTTCTTTGAGGGTGGCTTGGGTTTCCCTGTCAACCAACCAAACAACCCAAACCCAAACCAACCCAAACCCAACCCAACCTTCCCAAACCACCCACCAAAGGGAATTCCATGTCTATATTTTCATGGGACTCCCATCGAATTCGGCCCGTCCGCGGATGTTTGCTCTCGAGGTGAACCCCGGGCTGCGGCTCTCGGCGGACCAGGCCTTAGAGCACGCCTGGATCGCCGAGCGGGAGAAGAACGCCAAGAGCTATGTGAACAAGGCCCCAGCGGGTGATGTTGACCCACAGGTACCACCGGTACTGCTCACGCGGTGCCGTGGAGACCACAAGTCCGGCTTATGTTGACCCAACCATGGTGAGATGTGGTGAGTCCCCACTCAAACCAGGGACACCCCCATATTAATAGGGGTTGATTTGTCCGAGGTCAACATTACCGCCCAATCGGGCCAAAAAGAAGTAATATGGGGCCAAATTGCCTGAAAGTTGAAAGGGAAACAATGGCGATTTATAGACCAGAGGAGTGATTGGACATAAACCGCCCATCTGAATGTCCAAGGGTGCCCCAGTAAAAATTACACCCATTTGTTTGAAGGGTCCAAGGAGCTGGCATTGGGATTTCCTGGCCATTGAAGCAGTTGTTGGGTTCGTGTGACTATCATTTGACAAGATCTATGTGGAGGGCCGGTTCCCTTCTGCGATGGTTTGTTTGTTGGGTTGTGTCGAATGTTTGCCAGGGGTGGCAAATGGACGCCTAGCGATGGAAGCTAAACGGCACGGAAGGAACCCTTATCCTTTTGGAAGGCCCTTTTTGGACAGGGATGTCGACAACCATCGTAAGGGCCCTATTACAACACAATTGTCAGAGACGTTTATGGGTGCCTGAGCGAGTGCTGTTGTGTTCGACAGCTGTTGAGAACAAAGGGACCTGCCCCCGTCTTTTGCCGGGGAATCCCAACAAATGGGCTTCGGTCAAAGCTTTGTTTTCCTAACGTGCAAACCTCTACGGTTTGGCCGGTTTGGTGGATGCCCTACATATTGCAAGTAGGGGAACAAGCAGTTGACCAGGCTTTTGGTCAATTTACCAGAGTTTTATAACCTTGATCAGGGTTTTATGCAATTTACCAGGAAGTAATGCATGTTTCCAGGTTTTTGCGCAATTCACCAGGGTTTGGTGGGTGTGGTTGGCTGACCCATGCGTTTTTCTGGCATTGCCAGGAGATTGTGGATGCACTGACCTCCTTCTCAGAGTCTTCGGCCTTCCGACGCGGCTCGGTCAACTCGAAATGGATAGGTTTGGTCACATAGGCATCCTTTTTAGGTCAGTTTAGTTGAAAGTAGATGGCACCGCTTCCAGTTTGCAAATCGTTTACCAGTGCCCTCTATTTTTTCCAAAGGACACCTATGCTTGGATAAAATTGCCAGCAGTCTTTGGTTAGCACTTGTGGCCCAAGACTTTGCAGACTTTGCAGCGTGCGGTTTCGACAAATTTCGGGAAGGTCACAGCACGTGCGAAGGATTGAGTGAACATGGTGGTGGGCATTGTGGGCAAGACCACGGGTGAACAAAGGCTCCAGCGGGCCGGTGCTATGACGCCCACAAAAGGTGTCAAAGTCACTCGTCGTGACAACCCTTTCAGCCTGAAGCTCCACGGACCGACAGCTCTGCTACTCGAGATATCAGTCCTTGCGATTTTGACGTGGTGGTTCAAGGTGTAATCAATTTCAATGCGGATGATGCTGGTGATGCAGGGTCCGCGCCCCCAGCATCCCCAGCATCCCCAGCATCCCCAGCATCGCTTGGCACATCTCCCAGCCTCAGCCTCCCGCATCGCCTCTGCGTCCATGACTGTTTCTGTTGGCAGCTGCTCCTCCCTCCCAAAAGCACAGAGCCCCTCTGGCGCCTGCGAATCTTTGCCTCACCAAAACCACGCCTGTTGTTCTTTTTGTAGCTGCTCCTCCCTCCCAAAAGCATAGTTTTTGGGAACCCCTCTTTCTAATTTGGGGTCTGTCCAGTTTTTCGCAGTGCCCTTGCTGTGCCTGGAGGACCTTCATCTAGCGCAGTGCCTGCCAGGCGCGGACCCTGTCTTGGACTTCGTTCGGTAAACGTCCTTGCTGGAAGATAGGTACCCATTGCGGTTTGCTGTCTTAGAGCCTCATCTGCTCCCTTTGGACCTGCGTTCTGCAATCTTCTCTGAATCGCCAGCCCCCTGCGTCCGCGCCAGCTGCGCACGTACGTCTACTCGTATGTCGATAGGTGCAACAAGAGTTAGGCAAGCTGGCAGGAGCCTTTGCTCCTGAATTGTGCTTGCCCTGTAGAAATGAGCCACAAAGTTGCCAATGTTACGGTAAACGTGACACAGTTCAGCATGCCTCAAAATGCAACATTTCACAAAGTGCTGAAAGGGTTGACGATTGCACCGAATCACACGGCTGAAAAAGTGCAAATTCAGCGGGGCCGCTAGCAGCGGCTTGACCTTTTACGTTTTTCTTAGGGAATCTCGACAACTCCCGGAATGAGGGGATGGGATGGGGTTATTCAGGCAAATGTCTTGGCATGTTATTTCAAATTCACGAAGAGCCTAAGGGCCTTTGCGATGATGAATGTTCGTTTCAATTCCCTTTTTTCTCCGGTAGGTGAAGGTTTGACTATGGCCGTCCACCTGGCATGGTTCCTGGTATTTCCAAATTTCCGGTTGGGCCAGCATAGGGTGTTACCCAGTTTCGTTTTGGTGTTGTTTTTATTGTGGGGTGCGTAGGGAACATGTTGAGCCCACGTTCCTGAGGTTAGCAGGGCTCAAGCGGGGACACCTCCGAAAACAGGTCCAACCCTGCAGGCTCATGACCATGCAAACTTCCGGGCCCTCCAAATGAAAAGAAAACCGGACAGCCAAAACCTTCCAACTCTCAACAAGACCAACCCAAGAGAACCGCGGAACGTTCGGGGACCTCTCCGCCCGCCCGCCCGCCCACGTCGGACGTCCGTCGAGGCGCTTGTTTGTCGGTGATGGCCATCTCCCTGTCCAACGAGGAGCGCGCGGAGGTGCACAAAGCCTTCCTGGAGATCGACACGGACTGCGAAATCGGCCCGGGGTTGAAACTCGGAGTTAGGTTTCTCGGGCGAAAAGAGAAGGCAAAAAAAGCAAACCGTATGCCTGGTTTGGTACCTGACATTTAGTAATTCTGTCATGTTGTCAGAACGTGGCTTGTAGATGTTCAGACAGGTCCCCGTTCCTGCTGCTTGACTTTTCAGTACGTGGTTTGTAGCATCGGCCAATCAGACATTGACGAAGGACCTCTTCGGAACATGTTATACAAACACAGATCACATGAAGCCAACCATTCGGATGCTTGGCTTTTTGACATCTAAATTGGTCTTGGGTATTCAACAACTTCGATTTCCGACCCTTTAACATCATCTGCATAGGGATGTGAAGAAGACATGCGGCTGCATCTTTAAGTTTGGAGCCTCGTGCCCCCAAATGGGTCGTTTTCCTTTGGTTTCCCTTCACACCAACTCCAAAAGGTCTCCCTCAAGCAAGCAAGGCCACACCCATGTTGACGGTTTAGACCACCAGCGTTGTAATCACTCGCGAGCGCAGGATCACAGCGGGCACATCACCTTGAGCGAGCTGAGAAGTGTTGCCTAGCGGAAGTGAGAAGGTTCAACTGGAGCGTTTATAGCTTTATAATATATGCCTTGAATATGCCATGTGTAAATTTGCATTGCTTTGCACATCATACACTGACAATGTGGTATAATAGGTATGCTTGTTTGTATAATGGAAGTCGATACATACATAGCCACGCCGCACATACACATACGTATAGTATGTATGATATGTATCCACGCGTGTACAGACACGTACAACTAGACATACTAAAGGTCATAATGTCCGCTGTATTCTATTTATGGTTCATTTGTTCGCAATGTTCTTGTGCTGGCTGGTGCAGCCTTTCTTATGTTTCAAATGCGTTATGCTGGGACCTGGTGCAGATCGTGCTTGGACGATCCATGGATGATGTTGACATAGCGTTGCACGCTGAAAGCAAGTGGACACCAGATGGTTTCGTGAGAATCACAGCGTCTTGATGATGCGTAACCAGCTATAGCATAGTCTATGCTCCATACTTTACTGCAAACAGCTTTGGAGTCGTTCCCCACGCTGTGGTCAGACAATTATGTTACACGTAGATTCACGTGGGCAAATATTCTAAGCTCTAGTTGGCCGCACACTGAGGTTTTTGCAAGCAATCCCTTGCAAAGGCTCCCCCAATAAGTCTAAGAGGTATGGGAAAAGTTGTTTTAGTTCCCGGACAAAGCCACGATGTCAAGACTTTCCTAGTATCCATTGAGGTTATGTAGTGGTTCAGGGGTTGAGATTTCTTGGAGCGATGGGCAGGTCTGCACAAGAGATGTGCCAAGCATGTTAAGACAGGTGACCTAGGGTCCCGAACTCACATCTTTTGCCTGTTGGGAAGGATCAACCATTGGTGCAATGTTCGGGTGAGAACTACAACCGCTGGACTAAGGCAGTTGTTTGCCAGTGATTTCCGCGCCCAACATGTGAGGATGTGCTGCGCCATTTCAGCAAGGCTCCACGCAAGACTTAACGAAGGCGCAAGCTTAGTTCATGCAAGTTGCCATTCAGGCGTTTGGGCTTGTTGGGGTGCTGAGAGCAGTTTATGATTGCTATTGTTGCTTCTTGTTGGAGGTCCTTCAGAGGAGGTTTTCAGTGCATCTATGCGTGTTGGTTTTCCTGGTACATGAGAGGAAGGTACCACTGCTTGCACCCTATTCTGGATGGAGTCACAAAGGACAGGGAGGGTCACTTGTTTGCCCTGCTCGTGTGGGTGAGTCTACTCGCAGGCCTGGCATTCAAATCCGTGCGAATCCGTGCGCTTTTCTCGGTGTCCCATCAGTGTAACCTTTCATAGACCCCAGACTACCCGCCTAATCGTGGAAGTTCGCAAAGTCCCTTTCCTACAAAGTGCTGCCGGTATTTACGCACCCTAATTACCGGCGAGCCTGCGTTGAATCCCTTCTTGCGTGGAGGTGTGTGTGTGTGTCCTTTGTTTGCGTGTGAGGGCGTGTAAACCGCTCTTCAGGTTTTGGAGGAGAAGTTCCACATTGAAGATGCCGCGGTCGCCAGGAGGGGTTGAGCGGCGTTCACATTTTCGCTGGAAGGGGAAGGCTTACTGATATGGCCGGTTCCCAGAGGTGCCAGTCAAGAAGGAACCCGCGGCAATCTGCAAAATGTGCGTTTCATTGTTTCACTTGATAATCCTCTCAATATTGAGGAGGCTTATAGACAGCAGTCTTCTACACATAAGGAGAAGCTGGCATCTCATGCCACAAGTGCAGAATAGTTTGGACGGAAGTTTCAATTTCATGGCACATTTCTTGATTTGCCATTTATGTTTGTGTCCGGATGGAAGAACCCTTGAAAACAGATAGTTTCCCTTTGGTTTCCCTTTATAACAGCCAACCAAGTTCAAGACTACCCTCCCACCTACATGGCGACGTGCAAACGCTCCTTCCTTTAGGAAAGGGGGCGACTATGCACCATGGTTTGGTGGGAGAGCAGCCTCAAAGAAAGACATACTTTGGAGGATACGTATCTTCAAAAGAACATGACCCCCGAAGAGGGGGTCCTTCCCTGAAAGAAGATTGCGTTCCAAACACCGGAAATCATGTCTCAGTCTTTCCTTATGCAAATTCCCCAGCCCTGTAGGACCTTCCAGTCCTTGCAGTCGCCCATGTCGCGTGCGGCGCTGAGATGTCCGAAAGGGCGCCAATCGTTTTCCATTTTGCTCAGAGAGGAGGCAAAGACCAGGGAAGGCCGAGGAGGGTTGGGATCATTGCAAGGGAGTCCTCCGCCCTGCTCTTTAGCCTTTCTCGGCCTAGGTGTGTTACATTGGTGTGTGTCAAACCAATCAAATGCCAGCCAAATTTGTTTTCTCCCTTCTGGCTTCCCTGTAAGCCAGACCAGAAAAGGGGAAAAGACACCCTCAAAACTGTTGTACTTGGTTCAAAGGAAGACACGGGACACCAACAGGAAACCCATTTATTTCAAAAACTGATGACCTTGTTTTGAAGGGAAACCAACAGGAAACCATCTTTTTGGGTCCCGCCGTCGTGATGGAAGAACCCACAGAGACCGTACTTTCGACGAGAAAATACCAATGGAATCCCTGTTAGAAAGTGATTAAAGTAGTGATGGGAATCAACCTGTTGGCATCACAGGCGTGGGGTGGCTGGGGGGGGGATGTTTGGGAGTGCCTTCTATTGAGTTTCCTTTTATTGAGTTTACTTTTAGGCACACTAAAAACATACACCCATGTTTTCCACGACCATGATTTGAGGTGATGAGGTCATCAACTACTCGGATTTCCTGGCGGCCATGATGTCCACGCGCATCGCGCTCCACGACGACATGCTGCGCAGCGCCTTTGGGCGCTTCGACACTGACAACTCGGGCTACATCACCAAGCAGAAGCCCCTTGGTTTTTTTAGCAGACTCGTTGAACCGGATTGGTTTCTCAAGGACAATATTTTAAGCCAATTGAGGGGAAAGGTGTTGCATCCTATGTTTGGGGTTGACCGGCCAAGCCTGTGCGTTGGCTTTTGGGTGCTTTAGGTGCAGTGGAACCGTGGGGGAAACGTTTAACGGATTCTAAGACGTGGGTTCTAGGATGCTTGCACCACAGGACAATCATGTGTTTAGTATAGTGCTATCCTGGAATCCATTTGTTCGAACCCATTTGGGTCACCCAAATGGGTTTTTGTTAATTATTTGTTGTTCTCCAGGTATAAAATTAGGTATAGAAAGGCTGCGAATTAATGGGCGTGGTTCAACAAAAACACAATTCTCTTTTTTAGGGTGTGTCATGGCCGTGCGAGCCAAATCTTTCCAAGCTTTCTCGCTCTGTGTGCCCGTCTAGGATGTTTTTTGGACGTCTATGAGCAGCATCATTTTTAGCAGAGAGGTGGGCAGAAGCTGATGTAGACATGACATGCCTGAGCTCACCACATGAATGGCATGCTAGCTGCCGAGGAAGTATTTCTTTGGATCTGAGAAGGGCTGGTCATCAAGCCTTTTGGCAGTGGGGATGATTGAAAGTCCTTGGCCTTGGAAGTGGCATGGTTGATGGAGTGTTTGTACTTCATGCTGGCCCTGGATGAAGAGGAGCGGGGCCTTTCCGAGTCTCTAGAGTAACGTTTGTTTTGCCCAGACGAGGGTCAAGTGAGAATGATTGACGCGCCACTCTGGCTCCTCAAGCTAAAAGGAAGGCACACTGCGACAGGCAAGGACTGGCCCAGCAAGTGTTTCTTGTCAGCCGGACCTTGCGGATCCCTTTGAAGTACTTCGAGGCACCATTGCAAACCTTCCGGAGAGGCTTTGACTCGAGCGACCTTTCGCAACTTTCGTGGGCTTTAACTCAGCCAGGCTGCAGATGATGCTGGGAGACTCTCTGAGTGAGGAAGAACTGGATGAGGTCATGCGCGACGCAGAGCCTTGGACTCCATCGCGCGGGTTTTCGGTTAACCTCCCAGCGGATAGAGCCATGGGGTTTTTGGGGCCTTTTGAGGTGGGGTCCACGGCCAGCGGGTGAGCTTTGTGACCAGATGAGCTCTGGTTTTACATGGGTGTGAGTTCCCTTTGTGAGTTGCTGCTGTTGTAGGGGTTAGTTTCCCCAGCAACGCATGGATCTCTTTTTTTGGGGAAAGACCCACTGATGTTCCCACGAATCTTTGACTTTCTGCCTGCCAAAAACCTACTCAGCTGCAATGTGTCGTTGGTGGAGCCCCTCAAACCCGAGTGCATGACGAATAGGGACCACTAGACTTTGCGCCTGCTGCGGTTGTTGTCCATGATTTTCCTGGCGATCCAACCCCTTTTGAGTTCCTCTTTCGTCCAGTTTAGTCAATTCACCACATGGCTCGCCATTGCTCAGATCCTTTGGTTGCAAGTGAGACGCATATATTTTCTCACCAGGAAGTCGCATGTTAGGTCCTTTGGTCAATGGCAAGATCTTGGTTGATACGCGCATGTTCCAGTTCCGGACACCGAGCCGATCTCCCTCTTTGGGGTCTCTGGCTTAGTTCGTTTGCTTTCCTTGACCTGTTTCACACCGATCACTTCTGTAGAGGTGTTGTGTATTTCGCGCTTCCGTAGAAGGTCTGTCTTTTTTTTCAGGATTTGCCGCTTCGGTTGGTTTGGAGGGGAAGCAAGCAAGCCAACCATCTTTGAAATGAGCGCCCGATGTTGAGACAAAACCGAAGTGGCTGTGATTTTCAATAGCAAGGCACCCAAACCAAGAATTGGTGGACATGAACCCAGTAAACGATGTCCACCAAAGGAACCACTCAAAAACACGGGCATCCACCCGGAAAAGGTATCCACCAAACCAAAGGATCCATACCCCGATGGAGGAAGCCTTAGCTATACGCGGTGTCCAGTAAGACACAGGGAAGCCACTCATCGATGTCATGTTGGGACGTACCCAGGGTAACAAACACATGCGTTAAGCCTTTTGTTGGAAAGTGCGCCATCACTTCCAGGAAAGGCCGAATCAGTTTGGTCATTTCTGGCGCATAGGGAGCGAGGGAAGCTTTTGAGCTTTATTTGTATGGCTAGGGCATGGGCAGCATGTTATGGTTTGCACATGTTGTGACCGACATTCTCAAGCATGGATAGAGGATCCACGGGTCTGCTAGAGCTCAGATACATGTTGTGGGCCGAGTGTTTGCTGTGTTTATTTCATGTGCTGTCCCATCTTGCTGAGTGGGGTTGAGGTGGATACGAAATTCAGATGGCTAAGTTCGCACCAGCATGTCGGACCAGTGCAAAGGGCGCGTGGTTTTTGGCGTGCGTGCAAATTTTCGCCAGTTGGACCGCTCATCCTATGGTTCAGGGCCTCCCAATGCCTGCCCCATCTCAATAGGCGGGGAGGCGTGCAACCGTGTGAGCTCATGGGGTCCATGGTTCTGCTTGAGATCGGCGTGATCAAAAACGATGGTGCCGTTTCTTTTTTGGATATCAAGGGGATCCCCTTTCATCTAGTGATGAATCTATATTGGTATCGCAGAAAGGGCTAGGTTTCACAACCAGGTACAAGTTTTCTTGCATCAAGACTCTGCATCATCTGAGGACAGCAACAAAGATGGCTGCATCTCCATGAACGAATTCATTGAGCAACTCGTCGCATTCAGACGGCCTCTGGAGCAGGCCGGCCCCCGTTTTGCGACTTTTTTCTTCTTAAGCCCTCCACATGGGACAGGGAATCTCATTTCCGCACTTCTGAAAAAAGATGTGCGCAAATCCGATCCAGAATGTGTGTCTTTTTCAGGCTATGGAGCGTGACCGTCATTTGCTGCTGTCAGCTCATTTCTACAGCTTCGCCTGATTTCATGACTAAACCCTTGCCGTGTTGGCAGGGCATGGAACCCAAAGTCCCAGGATTGGGACCGCCTATAATAGAAATCTGCTTTTCGCAGCACTGAGGTACTTGCAAAGCCGCCACAGCAACACCAAGCATTTGCAGGCTGGGTGAAGGGGATTCCTATATTGCCAGGTTTGAACCCTCACCTTTTCGGGGAGGCCAAGTCAAAAGTGAGTGATCCCTGGGTGAGGCTGTACGTGTATGGAAGCCCGTTTCAAGTCAGACCTTCTGCGCGTTTTGGGTTGCGCGCGGTTTCATTTTGTAATCATGTGGGCTACAAAGCAATTATGAACGGTTCGATGCTTCCGCCCGTGTTTGGAGTATGTCAGCATGTGTCAAAATCGGGGACCCTAAAAATAGTAGATGTCCTTTTTGCTTCCCTAAGCAACCCTTGAAGGCTACCAACAATAAATGCACCGCCTTTTGGGTCAGCACCTTTGCGTCCCGCGCCTCGAGGAACTTGAATGCCGCTTTGGGGGGCGGCAATGTGCATGAGCTCCCGGGTATACTGGTGAGCCCTCGTGCTATTTCCCGCCCTTTCAGAATTGAGGGGGTCCTCCCTTTTTCGTGGGGATTCGGGGGATTCGCTCTTGCTTATGAACCAGGCGTCAACATTGAGGTGCTTTCGCCAAACATCCAATGTTGGCTTTCCAAAAAGTTGTGGTCCTTTGTCACGGTATCCCCTGAGGGAGGTCCCGCATGTGCAAATGAAATCATGACGGAGGCAAAACAAAGCCCTTCTTCCCGTCAACAGAGGGCCTTGCTGTCACGCTCGTACGGCAACAAAATTTTCTGGGAGCTGAAGATGCTTGCAAACATCTGCCAACCCTCACTTCAAAAGGAGCCAACGGGCCACACACCTACCTTGTAAACTGCTACGCCAGGGTGACACTTTGCACGATTCCCAAAAGCAAGTGAGATGATTTGCCATAGTTAGGTTTGCGATGGTTTGCTTTTTTCCACTACCCTACCCACCCACTAGCATGGAACCCATCAGAAGGTCCGTTTGAGAGAACAAGCGCATAGCAGAGAGCAGCTCAGATGCTTTCAAGGGAATTCCAGGGTGCCTGGTTTCGTATGCCAAGAGCCTTTCAAGACCTAGGAGCCTTACCAGAACCAAGGCATACAGTTAGAAAGTACAAGACACCATTCCCTCATTTTGAGGCATCTGCTCTACTCACCATGGTAATTGTGCCATCTACTTTTCTGGTTCCCAGTTTTTTTTTCCGGCAGGCTGCACACAAGGCCATCGACACGGAGCTGAAGAGACCTTCCAAAAAGTGCCGTGGGCCGGTTTGGATGGCTGAACAAGAGAACCAACATGGGGGTCAATTGGGTGTGGTTGTCTCTTTGGTTCTCCTTAAACCTGGGTAGCCTCGAAAACAAACACACACACACACAGTCAAGGAGCACATGTTGCTAAGGATTTAGGGCCGGTGTACATGGATTGACACATGCGATTCGGGAGTGCTCACTTCCATAGCCATGGCAAGGCAAGGCCTTGGCGCAAAGGAACTTGTCAAGACTTTCTTTGGGAGGCACAAGGGAAGGCCATCAGAAGCGTCTCCCGTCCTAGTTGACTTGTCATCCTGAGGGACCCGTGGGTTGTGCTCGGGTGTCTCCAGGTCTAGGCTGAGGTTGCCGACAGCTGAGGCAATTCTTTTGCGGAATCGGACAGGATCGACAACACTGGAAAAGAAGGAATTTTGATGAGAACGTTGCTGAAAGAGAATGTGGAAAGCCATTCTGGACTAGGAATCAATCACTGTCAATCACGTGTGACAACTGTTGTTTCAATCAGTTCTGGCAACGTTCCTTCACGGCAACCCGACATACAATTACTTGCCTTTTGTTTCCGGGCTCCTTAAACAAGTGAGTCTGCGTTGGCACCCGGAGTGATGCTCGCTGACGAAGTCAATCATCTATCTCCGTTCTAAAGGGAGAATCCTCGCCAAGGAAAATTGGCATAATTTATACCCTCCCACCAATTAGCATGGAACCTGACAGGGGGTCACTTAAAAGGAAACTGGTCTTCCAGAACCTGTCAGGTTCCATGTTAATCGCTGGGAGGGTAACTTTGCGACCATGCAAGGGGCGGTTCATTTTGTCCTTGGGTCCTTGCATTCAATTAGGTGAAATTAATTTGTGTGTAGATCATCGGCTGCAACGTGCCTCTCCCCGTCATTTTGGGGTAGCACGCAGATTCCCCGCAAAAGAGACGCCCGTGATCACTTCGAAATTGGAGAACGGTTTTTTGAATGCACCCTTTTCAGGATATTGAAGAGAGAAACAGAAGCAAGACCACCCATCTTGGAGGTTTTCTAGGAGACGAAGCCATATATTACGGCGTGTGAACAGATCTCCCATGAAGATACACGAGCAGCAGTCGCAGTGACGGATGGACACTCCACCCAGAAGCACGTCAACGAACTACAATTGAATGATCTCCAGGTTTTGACCTGACATGCTTATCCTTCCGGAATATGTGGTGTGTGCCATTGGCCATGCATGGGAGTTCTTCCTACTCTCTAAACATGTGTGCACACGCACACATGTGCCTGAATGCATGCGCTCCCGCAGGCACAGGCACACATTGTGCAAGCGCGCAATCATCGATCCATCCATTCCAACCTGCATCCAGACAGACATGTAGCATACATGCATGCATGCACGCATGCGTACCAGCCAGCAAGCCACCGAGCCAGCAAGCCAGCAGCAAGCAAGCAAGCAAGCAAGCAAGCACGCACGCACAAACAAGCAAGTAAGCAAGCAATCAAAGAGAACATACATGTATACATGCAGCCTCGCTGCATAGAAGTGGGTGTTCCACGACACCACGATATCTCGGCACAAGATGAAACTTGCTGGACCGTCTTAGATCTTCTTCATTTGATGAAGATTCATCCATTGATCGGTCGAATTTATCCATTTTGCATCCCCTTCCATGAACCCTTTTTCTTGCCACATCCGTCATTTGCCAGGTATTGCAATAGTACATTCGCGCTTCAAACACATCCAGAGAATGCCAAGTTGTTTGAATCGTATGTTGTTTTTTGTTCATGTTGAATGGCTTGGGTACAATGTACTGACTGCTGTGCGCACATTGCATCCACTTGCCAGGAACGTCGTCCCGGTGCGGGAGCGGAGAAGAAGCTCGGTGATCGTGAAGCAGCTTGGCAGTAAGGGCGTATTTTTTCTTTTGCGTTTCTTTCACTTCGGCCAGTGATCATATGGCCGAACTTGTGGAATTGAAAGGCCAGCCAATCCAGGCCGCAAGGGGGTAACGGTTCCTGGGATCACAGAAGCCTACCCTTCCAACAACCACGGTGGACAGGGTTTATGAGTTGGGCTTCTTGTTTGAACGTGAGGCAACTATATTCTGAGCCTTCTCCATCTCCGTTGAAGCGTCCTTGGAAATGATGGTTAGACCAGTTTTGGCCCTGCCCTGATTGGGATTCTTTGTGTATTTTGTTGTTCGGCGAGAAATCTAATTTTGTTTTTCTAGGTGAAATCTCTCGTTTTCAACATGTTTTGATTCTAGCAAAACCCGGAGCCTGAGGCATCCTCCAAATGGCTTGTTTCATGTTGGTCCCGTTTCAACGCGTTCCACTGAAATGTTCCTTTTGCCGCGCAGCCATGTAAAGGTAGCGTGTTTGGGCCTTGTTGCAACATGTTGGTCAACATGTTGCGTGGTGCAACTGTGGTCACGTGGCCGTGGATTTTGGACGCTCCGGGGCGACCAAAGCAAACAGACATCAAGGGTGAATGTATTCTGAAGATTCACATGGACTCCCTATCCATTTTTTGTGTCGCGTTAAGGAACGCCCACCCTTCTCGTAAGGGACACGTGTCCCGACAAATGCTTTGCTCTCCCAGGAAGCATTCCACCTCCTCATCGAATTCTCTGCAGAAGCTGAGCGGGCTCTGCCGGGGGATGTGCTGTCCGAACCTCTTGACTCGGCTGCAGGAGAAGCTGCAGGACATGCGGTGACTTGACCGGAGCGGTGAGCGGTAAAGCTGCCGCCCCAAAGCTTGCGGCGAATGCGTGACGCTTCAGCTGGAGACGTGTTCGGCATTACCTTGATTCAGGAGTTTGTTATGGCAAGCGTGAGGTTATTCAGGGGTTTGTTTTAAATCCATTTCTTTTGTTAACAACCAGACAGCTATTGCTCAAAGGGGAGCTTTCAGCCTTGGAGCAGTCACCTACCCGCATCAGCAAGCTGAGGGCTCGCTGCAACATGCCGGGCACAACTTCCTGTGGACGCCCAGTCATAGAATATCACCTGAAAGGTTTCAAGATGTTTCAAGAAGTACCAACCACGAATTGCATTCTCGCAAATGAGGTCGCGAAATGAGCGTATTTGTTTGTGCTGCTATCCCAGGGCGACTCCACCCATGCTGGGGGTCCTCCCAAATGCCATCTGACCATTGTGCGGATAGTTTGATAGAGGCTCCCTGTTTCGGAGGTCCAGTTGCCCGGCGAGTGTTTCTACCAAGCGAAGGAAAGGGCAAGTGCTGAGGTCCAAAGTTTCGACTTACCCCTTTTGGTGTTTGAACAAGGGTCCCCTAAAGGATAATGATAGTTAGGCCACTGAAACAAATCGCATTTACCAGCTGGTTTAGGTGTTTTTCATGTACAAGCTTGTGGTTTTGGATGTATCCTTCCAGGCTGTCAAACATCACCCTTTGGGCCCTGTTGAAATGACTTCCTGTTTTGGTGGGGTTATGCTTAACAACATATCATATGAACCTGTCCTTGCTAGAAACTCGACCAGCCCCTCTTTGATCCTTGGCGAAGCTTGGGAGGCCATAGATGCGCTCTGCAAGTAGAGCACCCCTGAGTCGAGGGGCAAACGAATCCGGGCTTCTGTGGTCCCTAGAAATGAATTCAATCAGGTTATATCAAGGCGGGAGACGCAGTTTCGACTCCGGGGAACTTGTTTGCGGATGAAGCTGTCTTTCATGGCGCTCCCCCGAAGGTCAGATGGACTGATTGCAGTGTCGGACTTATGTTTCAGGATTTGGCCTTGGGAACTGACCAATAAGTTGATTCGTAGCGCCTATTAGCAGAATCCAGTACTTGGGGATCGGAACATGTTTAATTATTGTTATTTTCTACGTGTCCTTTTTGTGGAATGGTTTACATCCTCAAATCCACTGGGTCAACGTGAAACTTGTACTGCAGCGCTGCCGTCGCGAGTTTGCCGCTAGTTTCAAGCCTCGCCAGATCCGGAACAAGAACAAGTCGCCAGAACTTGCACGTTCTGGAAGTGAAGGGCTGCAGCGTTCTTGTGTGAGAAAGTGTTCCCCACTTTCCGGATGGTAATTACTCAACGTCACCTTCTGGGCCAGTGGTGAGCAAGATGTTTCCTGGAGTAATCTTTGACGGCGCAGATGGTGATTTGGGTCTAAATGCTCATTAGGGACCCTTTGGTGGACATCCAAATTTGGGGATCCATGTCCACCACTTTGGAGGGCTCCAACTCTTAACATTTTCATAGCCGTTTCTTTGGTGGTGTCCGCCGAGCGTCCGAGGCCCCGCGTGGATGTGCGGCGCTTTCTCAAGGCTTGCCGGCCAGAGAAGGGCCTTGCGAAAGGGAAGGAGCCCTTTTTCCGAAAGGAGATTCGTCCCATGGTCCGGCTTTGCTCGGTTGGTGTACCTTTCATGGGTTCGAGTTTTCGTGAATTCCCGAGCAAATTGCATGAAGTTCTGAGGGGTGTTTGCTTTTGGCACACGCCCGCTTGACCGCATCAAATCATTGAAAAACCCAGGTAATGCCAAAGCTAAGCGCCAACACTTGTCCTTGGTCCAATGCCTCGAAGCGGCCATCAAATGCAGTGGAAACGGCCCCGCCATGCCCCTTGGTGCCTAAGCTTCTGCGGGACTTGGACACAGAAACAGAGCCAGGCCTCACAGCACCAAGAGAAACCCCTGTAGCAGTTCCATTCGCCCGCAGAAACCCCTGGTCCGAAATCTCTTGAAATGGAATCGACGCCAAAGGCTTTGTTTCTGTTCAAACCATGTAGCAAGTTGGTTTGAACCAAAATCTCCCATTGAACACATGGCCGGTCTTTGGTGCGACCTTCGCCCTTGAACCTTGTGGAAACATACATATTTTGCTCAGGGGGGAAGAGCATTGAATGGTGGCGAAAATCCACAGAGCCACTTTGCAGCAAAGCAAAGCTCATCGCTCGCAGGCCGTTTCGAGCTGCAGCGTGGCGCCGGCTTGTGGAATGCGGGATGCGAGGGCGAAGGATATGTGCACGTTCAACGGGGTAAATGCATCCCTAGACCAAATCGGCAGAAGTTTCTGCCTTTTTGGAAAAAGGGGCCTATTTGCTGTTGGCGGCGTTTTTAGTTTACCTGGCAGTGTTTTTTCAACATCAAGTTCTGTGCAAGAAATGGCAGCAGGAAATCGGCGCAATTAGGCGGGAAATCGTCGGAATTCGGCGGGAAATCGGCGGAATTTTGCAGAAGCAGGTTTCAGCATGTCGGAGTGTTTGTTGCGTTTCGGCGGTTTTTCCCCCCGAGCGGCATTTTTTTTGCTTTCGGCGGAAATTTCTGCCGCCGGGGCCTTTCGGCAGAAAGTTCTGGCGCCGGAGGGTCCAGGTCTGAGCCACAATTGACATCTGGGCACCAGAAGGGTGGTAAGCAACACGTCCAGCCATGGACAGGTCCGGTCCGGCCACCTAATTTTATTCTTTGCATGGTTTGAGAAGACCTCTGACTCACGTGAGCAACTTATAAGATTTTGATAGTCTAATGTTGGCTTGAGGAGGACAGTTTTGGGGGCAACAACCCCTGAAAAGAAAGACGTACTCCCACAAAACCAAGGGGACAACCGAATTGTCTCGTGTTCTCTGGGCGAAACAAGTAATTTTGTCCTGTGGATGTCTTGTACTGCGACCCTCTAAGCGGTTGGAAAGCGAAGGGACACGGGGCCTTCCTCATTCTGGGTTTAAAGCTTGAATTCTTGGCTTCCTTCTGCGAATCCAGCCACCAAAAGTGTTTCAAACTCGCCATGCGCACACAGCCTTATTGACCAACATGGCAGCCTTGACCGCGCGCAGCCTTGTGATGTCTTATGAAGCCCGTCAAAAGCGGCACTTGCCAGGGTGACCACAGCGGCTCTCTGCTGAAGCCCTGAAACGCTGTCAGCCGCAAGCAGCAGGGAGTGGATGGTTTCGGAACGATGGCCGCCGGATTTGGGAAGCCCCGGCAGGAAACCAAGCCTGGAACGACCTTCCTGTCACCTCGCAGGAAGACCTGATTTTATCTTCCATCCAAAGCACCGTCCAGCTTTTTGAAGCCGAACAGGTTTGTCCGCCACCGTGTCAGTCAGGAACGCAACAGAAAATGCCAGAGACGCCTTCCAACACGGAAATGATTTTTCACGGATTGTCTCACTGATGTTTTCATCCCCCAAGCTTTCGCATGCGCCAGGTTGTGATCTACGACCTTCACGATGCAGACTTCGAAGAAGTCGAGTGCAGAGCTTAGTGAAGTTGTGGCAATTGAAGACAACCAATCATGAAACTCAAAAGGCGGATTTCCCAACAGGAGAACGCAAGCTTCCATAATGTGGTTCCATGCAAGTATTCCGAAGACTAACGACCAAGAGTCGATGCACCTTTTTAACATGAGCTCTTGTGTGCACGAATCAACATTACATGAGAGTCCAGGGGTGTCCAATATGTTTGGCTTGTTTTGAAGGAAACAACGACACCAAAAGGCCACCTCCATATGAAGGGCGTTCCCATTGTTTGAAGCGCCCAAGTGGGGATCAATAATGGTGAATATTTTCCCGGCTCTATGGCATCCATTCATCTTGAAAACTGTTTTATCGGAGCTTTAACTTATTATTATTTTCCCGTTAGGCAAGTGTAGTTTCCCACTAAGCAGTAACAACCGCACTTTTTAGACAAGAAAAAAACCTTCAGAGCTTTTCTTGCAAAACCATGGGCGACAAACACACACACACACACAAACAAACCCACGCCAACAAATGATCATACATGTACACAAGCACCCACATATAGCCGATGGCGATGGCTAGTTGGCCCCCATGTTGCTAAGCCCCGCCGTGTTGCTAAGCCCCGCAGTAAGGACGCTCTTTGCCCTATAGATTCTCTGTGAACCATGACAACCATTGGAGCTGATTTTTGGTCGCGAGGGACGCGTCGGCCCCGAGAGGGGGAACAAGGAGCCAATGGTGCTACATTGTACACCATTCTACAGAGGTGCACAGAGCAAGTTTTTGGGGAAAGGAGTTGAGGCCAAAAATGTCCGACATGATTTTGTTCAGTGCAAGTTTCCTGCTTTGCTACTGGTGTCTAACGCCTTTCCCCCCCCCCCCCACCCCACCTCCCAGCAAAACCGTCTGACGGTTCTGACACAAGCCCCCCCACGCCCCACCTGCCGCAGGTGTGAATCCGGATAGGCAAAGTGGCCAGAGGAATTCATTTAGAGCCAAGGCTGGTGATCCGAATGCTGCAAGCGGAGCCAGACACGTTTAGGGCCTGGAGCGGGGTGCTCACCCCTACCAATAAGCTAAACAGCTACCTGGATGTGGTATTTCGGGTTGGACAACGCTAAACCCGCCAGAAGACTGGGTCGGGCAAAAGTGGTTTAAGCAGTTGTGGCCCTTTTTGGAAGAGTACTCTTTTAGGGGTTGGTCTACTGGCAGTTTAGTAGCAGTTCGCAGAAATTATCTACACCTATATTTCTTTCTCAAGCGTAATTTTAACATCGCCTTTTGAAATTTTGGAGAACGTTGTTGTAAAGTGGCAAGCTGGATTGTCTCGAAATGGTGCAACACCCAAACTCGGTGATTTCCTGTTGGTTTAGACATCCCCGAAACGGGAAATTACTCTTGGGTAAAGAGACACCCAAGCACTTGTCGAGGGTTTTTTTCGCGTTTGTGTGGTAACAGGCGGTGTGTGTGTGTGTGTGGCTCGTGCGCGATCAGCTTCCCAGATCTCAAATCAATC